CACACACACACACACACACACACACACACACACACACACACAAAGTAAATATTATAGAAGATGAGACTAGAACTAAGAAACAAAGAATCAAGACACTGAATTACAGCATAATCAGGATAACCTAGTCAGACCTAGAATACTGCTTATGTGATCCCACTATCTGGTTCCTTGCTTTGTGATTAATGTTCAATTTCAGAGAGCCTCAAAGAGTCAAGCCTTTTATTTGTATTAAATTCCAAAAGCAAGCGATAAGCTGTGTTTTTAATTGGCCACCTGTATCCACAATTTAAAATCTGCATGAGAAAAGGAAGGATGCCCTTTGGAAAAAATAATTCTCCATATGTTCACACAAAATTAGTTTTAGAAATAATTTTTAAAATTAAGAATCTTATGTAATGTTACTTTTTGAAGCTAAAGGCTTAATTTGAAAGAAAAAGTCATTAATCCTGGCAGAAATGTACTGTCTTAATAACGTGTTTCTTTGCACAAACAGGAGAACCCTGCCTATGAGGAATATATAAGACCACTATTACAAAGTTGGAGATCCAAGCTATGAAATAACCAACAGTATTCAGGAAGCAACCAGCACCATTATGTAATGATGGTACTATGGCATATATGCAAAATTAAAATTTAAAATTAGATATTTATGTTTTAGTCATTGTCTTTTAGATACAGTCTGAAGTGATATATGTGAAATAATATCTGTGATTTACTTTGAAATAATCGATAGGAGAAAAAAGGCAAAGTGAATAGTTGTTGAAGCTAGTCAACGGGCAGGTACATGGGTCTTCATTACACTATTCTCTCTACCTCTGAATGTGTTTGAAATTTCCAGTGGGGTACAGTGGGTCATGCCTATAATCCCAACACACTGGGAGGTCATGACGGGAGGGTCATTTGAGCCTAGAAGTTCAAGACCAGCCTGAGCAACATAGAGAGATGCCATCTCTACAAAAGTAACAATAAAAAATTAGGCATGGGGGTACATGCCTGTGGTGCCAGCTATTGGGAGGCTGATTGCTTGAGCCCAGGAGGTTGAGGTTGCAGAAAGCCGTGATCACACCACTGCATTCCAGCCTGAGCAACAGGGTAAGAACCTGTCTCAAAAAAGAAAAAGAAATTTCCCACAGTAAAAAACAGCACCACTATCCATTTACAGCATCTACTTGGTTAAATACCAGGATTTTGCTTTAGATCTAGCAAAAGCCAATAGGCTCATTAGTCGTCACTGTGTTCTTTAGCACACATTTATCCTTGGGTTTAAAAGGACACACATACATGCACACACACAATCCTCCTAAGTGATTATACTTGCTGTAATCTAAATAAAATACAGCTCTAAGAATGCAACTAAGTATCAACTTTTAAAAATCAACTCTTCCACAGTGAAAATGATTTAAAATTTCATTAAAAGACATAACTGTCTCAAGTTACCCAAATATAATCAAGCTACATTTTTCATATCATTTTCAATTACCCAACTAGACAAAACACTCTAAATGTCATTAGACAAACAGAATGGAAAAAAAAAAAAAAAAAAAAAAAACTCAGCTGGCTACTTTTCCTAATTTACTCATATAAACAATCATTTTATTGTTAATAATTAGTAAATTTGAGAAAATTTACCAAAAGCAAACATCTCCAGTAAGCAGGACGAGGAAGAGGCCTCATAAGTTTTTAACTTTTAAAAATTTGGGTACGGTGGCTCACACCTGTAGTCCCAGCACTTTGGGAGGCCAGGGCAGGTGGATCACCTGAGGTCAAGAGTTCAAGACCCATTAGCATATTAGTGGCATTGAAAAAAAAAAAAGAAAAAAAGAGTTTAAGACTAGGCTGGCAAACATGGTGAAACCCCATCTCTACTAAAAATACAAAAATTAGCTAGGCATGATGTTAGATGCCGGTAATCCCAGCTACTCAGGAGGCTGCAGCAGGAGAATCGCTTGAAACTAAGAGGCAATTGCAGTGAGCCAAGATGGCACCATTGCACTCCAGCCTGGGCAACAAGAATGAGACTCCATCTCAAAAATAAATAAATTAAAATTAAAATTAAAACTGGGAACTAGTATTATTCCTATTTCCATACCTGTTTTCAACCCAAATCATTTTATTTCAATATTGACCTCAGCAAGCTCAACAACACATAACTGGTTGGGCCTTTTTGTTTTTTTTTAAGGTAACTATCAATCAATTTTAAATACAAGATAATTTTCCGAAATGATAAACTTGTACTCATGTATTGATTTACTGAAACCACAGCAATCTGTCAATAACATCAAAGGATCTTAGTTGGAAGATGGTGAAAATAGGGTCATTACAGATTTCTGGATATTGGTCATTTGTCAAATTTTAAAATAAATTTTCAGAGACATGGGCAAAAATAGACATACGGAAGTGTCGTCAACTTCCTTGCAGAGAGAGAACCTCAGAATAATCTCAAAGAGAGAAAGAGAAAAGGAGTGGCCTGCCTGCCCCAGGGCACACGGCCTCAGAGCTCCACTCTTCCCCAAGAAAACTGGGAATAAATTACATGACTTCCTCTGATACAGTGGTCTAACAAACTAGGAAGTCTCGGCATAATTAAAATGATCCTTCCTATGAGTTACTTTCAAGAAATAGAAGCAAATGAACTATGCAATATAAGACTACAGTGAAATAAATAATAGTAGGTGTATTTCTCCAGCTGTTCTAGGTCCTTCATTCACTGCAGTTTGTTTCTTCTCTTCAGAAATAATCTTAACTTTGATAACAAAATACATTTGTGAGTTACCACAAAACATGAGCATAAAGGGCTAAAGAGTCATTTTGTCCCTGTGCTTAGCACAAAACTGAAATAATGGTCATAGAACTGTGGGCAATTAAGAAAAATCTGTAATCTTCAACATAAATTCCATTTTTAAAAATGTGAAAAACTGTATGTTCACTGTTCAAACATGCACCCTTTTAGTCAAAATTAATAATTCCATCCATCCTTGCTTCAATGACACAACAGAGTTCCTATAAACTGCAACCTAAGGTCCCACTGTGTCCTCTCAAATCAAACACAAATATGCTATAGGCGGTTTTTAGACAAGAAATATGATTCCCCCCCCTTAGGTAATAATAATCAATAAATACAAACTTAACTTTCATATTTCATTTTTTATTAGTTTTTTTTTTTTTTCTGGTAGACAGTACACTTGAGAATTATACTGCACCAGGCATAAAGAGTAAGATTTCTACCACAGGGAAATTTTGTATTCAGAATTCAATATAAATATTTCTAGTCAGACATTTCCATGGCTACAGATATTTGGTTCCTTGATTTTATATGCATAGAAAGAAACAGTTGTCATAACTGTAAAAAGCAGTACTTAATAAGTACTTTTAAATGATTGGAACAGTTTTCCTTTAATATTACAATACTACTTATTGGTTTGGAAACTAGGTCACCCTACATGATCGTTTGATTTTTCTCAAAGGCATCATGAGTACTCTACTTATTCTTTCATTCTTGTATGTTTAGCCTTCTAGTTGAGTTAGGGACCATTTTATCAGAAATCATTTTAGCACTGTAATAAAAAAAGCTCTGTTAAGGGTAGATTATATACCATAATGATTTTCAGACTTCTTTTTATAAAAAAGGTATCTGGAGACTCTGAACAGGCACATGCATACTCAGGGGGAAGGGAAGAAAACACGGAGGAGTCTGCCAAAGCACAAAACTTCCTTCTGGTCCTCACTGCCTTCAAATAAATACAAATATTTAAAATTAAAAAAAAAAATCTCACACTGTGATTAAAAAAAAAAAAAATCCATATCTTCCATTTCCTGGAGAGTCTATTTCCAGGAACCTGTGGCAGGGTCAGAGATCAGTCATCTGTCTTCCGGGCTAGCCTACAGAAAGTCCAGTTGTGCTCCACTGTGTTTTCATTGGCCCGCTCACTCATGTGATGCACCCGGGTGTTTCGGATCGTGAAACCTTGTTTTGTAATGTATTCCATCAGGTGGACCCTAAGAGAAACTTCCTGGTGGTAATCACAGGGTCCAAAAGTAAAGGAAACCTGGCAGTCTCTGGTGTCCATCATGTGCTTATTCCACTTGGTAAAATAATTTGAGATGCCTTCTAGTAAGGAATGGACCTTGGTGGTGATGGTTAGTTGGGTTATGATGACAGCCACTGGGTTGGAGTACTTAGAAAGCTTCCGAGTACTAGACAGCTCCACAACTTCCTCAAAAGTATCCATGGGATACAAAGGCTTAGGATCATTGAGACACTGAATCAAGGGCTCAATCTGGTAAAAATCTGCTTCTTTCCGAAGCAGGTCAAATTCCTTAAAATCCAACGGTAAGGTCAACTCTGAAGTTCTTAAGAAGTTGAGGACATATCGGAAAAGAGGTCCATCTCGATCAATAAAGTAATTTCCTTGAGGGTCTCGAGCTGTGGGGAAGTCCCCCCCAAACATAGCTCCAAGCATGGAATCCGGGTAACGTGTCAATGTGGTGAGAGACGTTGTATACAAGTGTCCACCTACATTTAACGTGACTGGGTCAGTCATCTGAAATTTTTAAAGAAATGATCAGTCATCCGAAATTTTTAAATACTAACTTTGACAATTTAAGAAAATAAGTGAGGCCAGGCACGGTGGCTCACACCTGTAATCCCAGCACTCTGGGAGGCTAAGGCGGGCAGATCACGAGGTCAAGAGATCGAGACCATCCTAGCCAACATGATGAAACTCTGTCTCTACTAAAAATACAAAAAATTAGCTGGGGGTGGTGGCGTATGCCTGTAGACCCAGCTACTCAGGAGGCTGAGGCAGGAGAATCACTTGAACCTGGGAGGCGGAGGTTGCAGTGAGCCAAGGTTGCGCCACTGCAAACTCTAGCCTGGCGACATAGCAAGACTCTGTCTCAAAAAATAAATAAATAAATAAGTGGTACTGAGCAACGCCCAAGATTCTTTCAGGCTATAATGTATTTAGTAATCCTCTAATGCAAAATGACTTTACTTCCAGCAATAAACCCACCCAGATGAAGAGATCTGACATTTGCTTTCAATAAAAAAATAAAATAAAGGATAAATTCAATTCTTTGAAGACTTACTCTAAGAATACAGGGCATGACTTTCAGAGTCACATCATTTCAGGCCCATTATCTATAGAGTTTTCAGGTCAGAATATATTGTGGGAAGGAAAAAGCCAAATTAAAATACACTTATTTTTTTCTGATTTTTTTTTTAAAGGCTTGCATTCTTCTGAATTTAATTTAACATAAGATAGAATTAAAATGATCTCATAATATAGACATTTACTTTCAATATTTCTTTGGGTCCCCCCCAAACAAAAGAAACAAACTATGAAATTTGTTTTTAAAATAAAAATTTGGGCCGGGTGCAGCGGCTCACGCCTATAATCCTAGTACTTTAGGAGGCCAAGGTAGGCAGATAGCCTGAACTCAGGAGTTCAAGACCAGCCTCGACAACATGGCAAAACCCCGTCTCTATTAAAAATACAAAAAAAAAAAATTAGCTGGGCATGGTGGTACATGAGTAGTCTAGCTACTTGGGAGGCTGAGATATGAGAATCACTTGAACCCGGGAGGCAGAGGCTGCAGTGAGCCAAGATCACACCACTTCATTTCGGCCTGGGTAACACAGAGA